CTGTCTCCTATCTCTCCTACCTCTCATAATAAAGGGTTGTTAAATGTGTCGTTAAACCCGCCACCAAGCCGACACAGCCAATTAGGATGGTTTGTCGCGTAAACAGACCGTGCAAAAAAAATGTAGTTCCTGATTCGGCAAAACCGGTTTGTGTCGGAAAGTACACCGCCAACATTTACAAATCCGAGTACGACGTTTCGCTGGTGGTCGCAAGCGGCTTCGTCAGGCGATGGCCACAATTGTGAGTAAGTCTCCCTGTTTCGGCCTTTAAATTGAGGCGAGTAAAAGTGACGTCATCACTGTCATCCCATCTCTCTCCCCCAGCTGCATCTCACTGCTGGTTAAAGGGCCTCCACTCGAGGCTGCGCCACAGAGACAATCTCGAGGGGGTTACTTCTACTCATCCACGTCGCGCAGGCGTCTCGCGAGAGTTTGGGGTACCCACGCTTCACCCCACCACACGTGGCACTGCTGACCATAGCCACTAGCGAAAACCGACCGGCAGCTACACGCGCGGACAAACATAGCTACGCGCATATAGACACACGCAAACAAGAAGACACACAGCCACGCAGACAAATCAAGGATCCCCCAGTAGGGCCTTAACAGACGTTGAGATCAAGTGCGGATAGCGAATAGCAGCTATTAAGGCCGGCACGGCACAACAAGAGGGTGGGATGGTCGGCATCACGCCCGGCCGCCTTTGTCTCCCCAGTGGCGATCTTTACACAATGCACCGGGTACGTCCTATATTTGATCCGTAATAGAGGGTTTTTAAAAAAATAAAAAAATATTTACATTCGTCGTAAAAATCCTCCGCCACCCGGAACATTCAATTAGTAAGGTTTGTCACGTAACGAATTTCGCCAGCTCGTTACTGGCACAGCAACACCGGTGCGCTGGAGGGTAAATCCACGACACGACGTTTCGCCGGTGATTACAACCAACCTCGTCAGGCGATAGCCAGGGTTAGAGGCTCAGGGGACGCCCACGCCCTCCCTCCCACCCACCCACACAGGTGCCGGTGCAGATAATCGTCACTACGCGGTGGCCGCGAGCGGGAATCGATGGCCGGGTTGGTAGCGCAGCGCGCTAACCGCTACGCTACCGCTTCTCCCTCCCACCCACCCGACCGGTGACAGACAACAGCGATCAGATCGTCGCCGTGACGACGCCACCCACCGCCAGCTGCGGGAACTGTCGCGCGGAATCGAGTTCCATTGCAAGCGACAAACCAGGGGAGGGCGCTCTCATCCTGTCGTCCTCATGACCCCACCGATGACCCCCCCCCCGACCCGTGACAGCCCCCCCCCTCCCACCCGACCCGTCACCTCCCCCCCCCCCTCCCATGACCCCGGGAAACTTCCCCGCGTTTTATCACGGAGTTTTTTCGCGACCAATGTTATCCACAATGAAGTTTGTATTTTGGGGGGCTTAGATTGCGTGACTAACTGGCACGTTTTGTTTCGTTGACAAACCCCTTACTAATTGGCTGTGTCGGGTGGTGGCGGAGGGGTTCAAAGACACAACGATCTAACCCCCTTGGCCGCGCGTCTACCAAACGCATGCTTCCATACAAATCAAATGCGACCGACGTTTTGGGGTCAATGGCCCTTATTTGGGTGGTGACATGGATCTGGCATCCAGTGACTAAATTGAGCCGACCGTTATCATCTTGCTTCGAATCATTTATTTATTTTACAATTTGTATTTTTATTTCCCCATCGAGCTACGTGGCTCTTCTTGTTGCTTTTCTTTTTCGGAAGCCACCTGGCCGTCACAAATGATCGTTCACCCAAGTGGGGCTTCATCACCGCGGCGGAAATGTACGGCGGCCGAACGCTCTGAACGTTCCGATGCTCATTGTAAATGTGGTTGAGACAAACCGGAGGGCCTGGAGAAAAATCTACGCGACCACGAGGTGCGAGAGAGAGAGCGAGAGAGAGACACGCAAACTCCAAATATACAGGAGCAGGCATCAGCGTCGGGGTCGGGATCAAAGCCACGACCTTCTGCATAGCCAGGCGAAGTAGTTCACATCTCGCCACGAGGAGAGAGATGCAGACCTCAAATATAGAGCAGCAGGCATCGTCGGGGTCGGGATCTAACCCACGACCTCCTGAATAGCAAAGGCGAGGTAGTTAACATCTCATAGCCACCATTGCAGAGATTCGCGGTTGGGACCGAAGCGGTCGCCCTGGTGCATTACTGCGCGTGGTGTATCACCGAGACAACGCGACCGCGCGAATGCCCGCTTCGCTCACCTTGGCCGTTAAAGATCCTGTGGGGTCATTCGCAAGAGCAGTGCCATTTGTGCGCCGGTTGTAGCTAGGGTCACAACGTTTGACCGAGGTGAACATCGCATCCTGGCAAACTAATGTTCTCGCTCTCCTCTCTATAACTATTCCTCTCTGGTCGCTTAATGTGTTTTGAAAAAGGGGCATTGCCTGAAACGTCGCCGATTAAATATGTATGTTTCTAAGTGGTGATTGGTGGAGGTGTTGAGTCTGTTTCAATTGGGTAAGGTCTCGTGTTGGAGCCGCGCTGTCCTTAAGAGAGTGTCGTACGTGGTTAATCATCATCGGGCGCGTGAAGCGTGTTAAGAGCCAATTGAAACTACCCCTCGACTCGGCCCTAACCCAGCGCTCTCTCGTCACTCAAGTAAATACTTTGGTCGCTAGAAAGGTGAGAGCGATTGGTAATAATGATCATCTTCAGCAGCAGCAATTATCATTATCGTGAACAAAACAGCATCATCATCAGCAACAGCAGCAGCAAATGCATTGGTGGCGTCATCATCATCAGCAGCATCAACAGTAGCATCATCAATCGTCGTCATCAGCAGCACCGATAAAGTGGGACCATTAGCAGCAGTTCCTCCAATAGCAGCATGTACATCATCATCAGCATCACAAGAAGCATAATCAACAGCAGCATCATCATCAGTTGCTGCATCTCCATCATCATCATCAGCAGCAGCAGAGGTAGCATCAGCAGTAGTAACAGTAGTTGCATCATTATCGGATAATGCAATAGAATCATCAGCAGCAGCATCAGAAGAAGCATCATCAACAGCAGCAGCATCATCATCAGCTGCAGCATCTCCATCAGCAGCAGCATCAGCAGTAGTAACAGCAGTAGCATCATTATCGGACAAGGCAGTACCATCAACATCGTCATCAGCAGCTTCCGCGCTCTTAGTGGCATCAACATCATCATCAGCAGCATGTATTCCCTCCCCCCACCCCCTCATTGAAGTCATCGCGGTTGGCTACGCACGGTGCGAAAGAAGTTCAACATGCATACACACAATGTAGATACATACGATGAGCACGTGAGGATGAATTACCGCCTTGATGAGGTGCGATTCACGAGCGAGCGGTCCCGCCAGAAAAATAGTTCACAGCCAAAGACAGAGATGCCCGCGTGGCAGCGTTTACGAGGCATCTTGGGGCAAGTGCAGTTAGCGAGCACCTATTAAGGCTGGCAAATGACATGCGATGGAGCCGGTGCTGCTAGCACCGCGCCAGGCCGCATTTGTCTCCCCGGTGCTGATGATTTATACAAACGGCACCAGATACACATCTCATTTAAGGCTGAGCCGACCTAGGAGAAGCCGAGGTACCGGTTCGGATATTCGCTGTCGCTGATCTTGGCAGTGAGGGGGATTCGCGGGAGTTCGTTGCACGGTGCGCTAACCACTGCGCCACCGCTCACCCACGCACGTATGCATATACTGTATACAGACATCCAACAATACGCAGATTGCCCTATAGCCTTCAGCAGCCTATTGTGGCAAGTGCCGTTAGCGAGCACCGATTGAAGCCCGCACACTGCACGAGCGGGCGGTTGGCCAGAACAACGCACGGCCGCCTTTGTCTCCCATGTGGCGATGTTTACACACTGCACCAGCTACTAGTTTTTTTAAGGCTGAGTCGACCTAGCGGATGCCCAGGACTGGTGGAAATAATGGAACCGTTACGCTACTGCTCCCCACAGACACACACGCGACATACACACACAGAGACGAGACATCAGCGATTTCCATACCTGCTAAGCGATACGCAATTGCGTCGCGAGGTCCCACTCACTCACTCACACCTACCTGCTCACCCAATTCCTCACTCACGTACCTCGCGCTGTTCCACTCACCCTCTCACTCACCTACCCGGCCCTCCTACTCGCTCGCTCACTCACCCATCCATCAGCCGGTTTGCTTACACACTCACCCGCTCACTTACTCGCTCACTCGCTCACTCACTCAAACACACCCCCTCATCCTCTCACTCACTCATCCACCCTCTCACTCGCTCATCCTCTCACTCACTCACTCACCCGATCAATCTCACTCACATATCTGCACCCCCACTCAATCACCGACCAGCTCGCTCGCTCGTTCACTCACCCGCTCACCAACCCACCGGCTCATCCGAAGACAAAATCACCCCCGTATAGCCTCAACACGCGCTCACCTACACACTCACACACGCTCACAACCTCACCCACACGCTCACCCACACACTCACCAACCCGCCCGCTCACCTACACACTCACACACGCTCACAACCCCAATCACACGCTCACAACCTCACCCATCCGCTCACTCACACGCTCACAACCTCACCCACACGGTCACCCACACGCTCACCAACCCGCCTGCTCGCCTACACACGCTCACAACCTCATTCACACGCTCACAACCTCACCAACCCGCTCACCCACACGCTCACAACCTCACCCACACGGTCACCCACACGCTCACCAACCCGCCTGCTCGCCTACACACGCTCACAACCTCATTCACACGCTCACAACCTCACCAACCCGCTCACCCACACGCTCACCAACCCGCCTGCTCACCTACACACTCACACACGCTCACAACCTCACCCACACGGTCACCCACACACTCACCAACCCGCCCGCTCACCCACACACTCACCCGATCAGCAAACCACCCTCTCACCTACACACTCACACACGCTCACAACCCCACTTACACGCTCACCTCCTCCAAGCCTGATGCGTCCGTGTCTTCGAATCTTCCCACTAATCTGTTTTCTTCACCTCCCTCCACCAGCCGTGGCGAATCCGTGGTGAGGTCTTGTGTGTGTGTGTCTCTCTCTCTCTCTAGAATAATATCTCAACCATTCTAATCTTAACTAATCGACGGACTCATCTCCGCTCACGATTATTGGTTAAACAAGTAGTACTACCAATGAATAATACTACGAAAGGTATATCCGTTGCTGTAATTATAATCTGCGTTTGTGTAAAACACACAGGTGTGTGCATATATTAAAACAATCCTACATGTATATTTAATTATACGTTACATATACAGAATATGCACGCCAGCGATATCGTAATTGCAACGGAGAGAGGCGCCCAGGCGAAAGGAAGGACGAAGCGTGAGGCTGAGAGACGGAGAGAGAAGAGAGAGAGAGCTGAGAAGGATAGAGCGAAGGGAGAGACTGGATGGATGTATAGATAGAGAGAGAGAAGGGGAGAGAGAGAGAGTAAGGAGAATGGGGCTTTGGGAGTAGGATTTAAACAATTTTAGCACACACACTCATACCTGGAAGTTAATCCGCAAACCCGATTATGACAGACAGACAGACACACGGACACGCAGACAAATCGCTGTACGCACACGCAGACAGACAGACAGACACACATCTATGTATTTACAGAGCCACACGGATGGAACGCTCACTCACGCACGCACACACACACACTCAGACGGGCTCACACACACATGCACACACTACGCACGCGCCGAGGCAGTCGAACACACGCGTACGCGCGCATGCACACAAGAGCGGCACGCTCGGAGGCAGACACTCACACGGGTGGACACCGCACGCCAAAGACTCGGGAGAGTCCACCAACTCGGCGCGCACGTGTGATGCGTCAAGCTGAGTCGCACCTCGCACCGTTGCGCGCACACACACACACACACACGCGCGCGCGCGCACAGAGACTCACACGCACCACTTACAGCCCGCTGATTAGAAGCCTCGACGGAGCTTAGACGGAGACAGCCCAGCCCAGCCAGCCAGCGAGACAGACAGAGTGAGAGACAGATGGAGCCGCTGCTACGAGGACAAGAGCGAGGAGGGAGAGACAAAGGCGGCCGAGTTGCGCGCGGTCACACAAACACAGTCACTCTGCGCTTCGCTCCACATCGGCCCCTGATAACTTAGCGCCGCACAGACCCTGCCGGCCAATCGGAGCTCGCGCCCGGCACGCACCTGGCCAATGGGGGACGGCATGCGCCATCGTGGGGGGTAGCGGTGGGAGGGAGGGGGGTAGAGAGTAAGGGGGGGGGTGCAGAGAGGGATGGAGGGAGAGATTGATGGAGAATGGGGGAGTTAAACGGGAGGGGGGGGGATGGGTGGATGTAGGGAGGGATGGGAAGGGAGCGAGAGCAGAAGGGATGGGGAGGGAAGGGGGAGCAGAATGGATGGATAGATAAATTGAGGATGGGAGAGTTGGAAAGATGGAAGGGTGGATGGATTGAGGGAGGGAGGGATGGAAAGAGAGATGAAGCGAGAGCAGAAGGGATGGGGAGGGAGCAGGAGGATGAGGTCGTAGCGGGAAAGGGGAGGGGGGGAGATGCAGAAGGGATGGAGGCAGAAATGGAGGAAGGAATGGATTGAGGGAGGTAAGGATGGCCAGAGAGAGAGAGAGAGTGAGCCAGATCAGAAGGGTTGGGGAGGAAGGGAGAGAGTACACGGGATCGAGGCACGGAGGGAGACAGCGAGGGATGGAGGGAGGATGGGAGGGAGGGATGGCGAGAGGGAGGATGGGAGAGAGTGAAGGAGAGGGGGGAGAGAGCGATGGGAGGGACTAGGAGGCGTTAGCGGGGGAGGGAGGTCGGGGATAGACCCACGGGGGAGGGAGCCGATGGTGAGAGCGAGAGAGCTGCCATGCGCGTGGTTGGTTGTGTCGGTGGTGGGCGGTAGTGGTGGTGGGTGGGGGTAGTGGTGGTAGTGGGTGGGGGTCGTGGTGGTAGTGGGTGGGGGTAGTGGTGGTAGTGGGTGGGGGTAGACGCGCGTTTGTCAAGCAGCAAGTGTAACTTACGGTGCGCTCAGCCGCCGCCTCTCGTTGCCCGGATGGGTTGCCAGCAGGTTACCCGATTAGGATTAGACGGCAGCGATCACCCCCGCTCCCACTACCTACTGGCAAGCTAATATACGATTTAAACTCTAAACTATGGCTCTCTGTGTTAGTCACTGGATCTCCATGCCAGTCTACGTGTGCGTATTAAAACTTAAACAATATTTTTTTAATCTACCAGATAAGACCCATCGAGCAATGTGCACAGTCGCTACTTTGCCGAGATGCGACCTGGCCACAAATGACGGCTCAACGAAGCGGCCCATCACAATCACCATCGCGTGGAAATATAAATAATCCAAACACTCTAAACGCGTGACGTTGATTCTAAATGTGATTGTAAAAGGACTTGGAGAACAATCCACGCGATTACGGAGAGAGGAGAGAGAGAGACGCAAACTCCATGACGGGGAGAGAGACTTTTGACTTTTAAACAACTTTCATTGCCGCCAGCAGCTACAGAACTGGAGGCGATTCCGATATGAAAAACAGAAAGTCACTAGCAAGAGAGAGAGAGAGAGACACGCAAACTCCATCACGGGGAGAGAGACACGCAAACTTACATTAGCAGGCCAGGTGTTAAAGTCGCATTGTGCCGCGCACAGACAGCTGCCACTGGGGATGCCCCTTTCTAAATGTGTTGATATGAGGTGGGAGACGTATGTTTAACTTCTTTCACACCGTACGTAGCCACCCGTGCTAATCAGAGGTGCAGTATTGTATGTATGTATGGCTATGTTACGGCGCGAAATAAGTTCGACATCCAGTACAGTACATGCAAACTATAATATACAAGAACAACAACAAGTCTAATTAATGTATACGAGATCACTGCGTGAGTGACTGTTGTTGTGGAATTGATACGAGGGGTAGACTAATACGTAGGGTGGACTCCTGATACGTGGGATGGATTCAGGGCGTTTATTTTTCATGTTAATCTTTGTATATTCGAGCAGAGACAGAACAAACCAGGCGAAATAATATCAATCAAACAACAACCTTGCTACACGCTCAGCTTCCAAGTAACATATCACTATCATCATCATCATCATCATCGCCATAATCATCATCACCATCGCCATCATCAATATCACCACCGTCATCATCATCACCATCATCATCATCGCCTTCATCATCATCAGCATCTTCATCATCATCATGACCATCATCATTATCACCATCATCATCATTATCACCATCATCATTATCACCATCATCATCACAATCATCATAACCATCATCATCACCACCACCACCACCACCATCATCACCATCACCATTATCACCATCACCATCACCACCATCATCATTATCACTATCATCATTACCATAATCACCATCATCATCATCACCACTGCGGTACAGCAAAAACACGGGGAACAACGCAGAACGCAGTGAGCCTGGCTGGTAGAACCCCCCACCACTACCACCACCGCCACCCACCACCACCACCCACCACCACCACCACCACCACGTCCACGCAGTGTCGTGGTGCCCAACACACCACCGCACCGCCCAAGATTGCTCAAAGTGACGAAGCTCACACGACGCGACGAGACGGAATCTGAGGCGTGAAAAGCGATTTAAAGTTAGGAGAAGGCTGGTTAGGGTTACGATCCCCGAACATTATCGCTCTGTGATTCCCGGAGATTAAGGGTGCTGCTCGCGTACACGGCAAGGAATTTAAAGCAAAAATTCGTTCTCACACTGGGGGCGATGGGGGAGGGGGGGGGGGGGATGGGGGATTGGGGGGGGGGGGTTCTTTGAGGAGAAACAGAGTGGAGGAGCTTCCAAGGTTAAGGGGATTCACCTGGTTGCGTGCACTGAGTCATTAAATGATCGAGAAGATATTTAACAGACTTATTTTTGTAGCACGTTGTTGGTGAAGGTAGCCCAATTATTTCCCCTGCGTCGATCAATAGGGGATGGGGGGGGGGGGCGAGGAGGTGGGGGGGGGGGTTGATTAGAGGTTAGATTAAGGTCACACTGACGATGGGTTCTGTCGAGGGCCATCGAGTGCGGAACGGGACAATGGATCCGGTTTTGTTTTAGCAGTCGGGCCTGAAATCACGTGCTCTAGATGACGTCACAATAGTCGAAGGCGGAGCGTCGAGTGGCGCGCGCTAACGGTAGCCAATCGCAGTCGAGGTGGTGTGCAAATGCAATCGTTATATCTGCAGAGGGAGCCTAGTTTTTCGTTATTTAAATTATTTAGTTTAAATCTTAATTTCTTGCAACGTGATAACGTGCGCGTGTGTGTGTGTGAGTGCAGCATGAGACGGTGTGTGAGATCAACGTGTGTGTGTGTGTAGCACGAGATGGCGTGTGAGATAGACGTGTGTGTGTGTGCAGCATGAGACGGCGTGTGAGATCAACGTGTGTGTCTGTGCAGCACGAGACGGTGTGTGAGATAGACGTGTGTGTGTGCAGCACGAGACGGTGTGTGAGATCAACGTGTGTGTGTGTGCAGCACGAGACGGTGTGTGAGATTGACATGTGTGTGCAGCACGAGACGGTGTGTGAGATAGACGTGTGTGTGTGTGTAGCACGAGACGGCGTGTGAGATCAACGTGTGTGTGTGTGCAGCACGAGACGGTGTGTGAGATCAACGTGTGTGTGTGTGCAGCACGAGACGGCGTGTGAGATAGACGTGTGTGTGTGTGTGTGTAGCACGAGATGGCGTTTGAGATCGACGGTGGCACCATTGGTTGAGAGTCAAACGCCGTTCGTTGAGAAGTGGGGCGGTGGTGGCTAACACGGCGGAGTGGACGATAGCGTTGCACGCCGTCTCCGAATGAAAATCCAAAGTGATTTCGTCCTCAAATAAGGGGTGAGGCATCGATCTCCAATCTGCCGTTTACAGCCCCGAGCCAGTGGTGGAAATTCCACATTCCCGTGGCAGGGGCGAATCGACTCATACCTGGTGCATTGTGTGTGACCATCAGCACTAGGCGAGACAAACGTGCCAGTCACGCGCACAGACACACAGACAAAGATCCCCCATATACCCTCAAACAGACTATTGTGGTAAGTACACCTATGAAGGCCGGCACGGCACACGAGGGGGTGGTTGGCCAGCACCACGCCCGGCCGCCTTTGTCTCCCAAGTGGCGATATTTAAACACTGCACCAGGTACTCATTTGAGGCTGAGACGACCTAGGGGAGGCCCAGGAACCGGTTCAGAAATTCGTCACTGGTGTTGGCCGTGGGCGGGATTCGAACTCGGGACGCGGGGTTCGTAGCGCAGCGCACTAACAGCTACACTACCGCATCCCACGCTACCCGCGCACACACACACTCACACAAAGACAAAGATCCCCCGTATAGCCTTACCAGACTGTTGGGGCAAGTGCTGTTAGCGAGAACCTATGAAGGCCAGAACGGTACACGAGGGAGTGGGTGGCCACCACCACGCCCAGCCGCCTTTGTCTCCCCAGTGGGGGAGAAAAAGGCGGCTGGGCCACCTAGAGGAGGCCCATGACCGGTTTGGTTAATCTTCACTGGTATTGGCCGTGAGCGGGAATCGAACTCAGGTGGCCAGGCTCGATGCGCAGCGCACTAACCACTACCCTACCGCTCCCCACTCGCACACACCCACACACCCACACACCAACACACACCCACAAGCACACACCCACACACCCACCCACACGCACCCACACACACGCACACACCCACACACCCACTCGCACACACCCACACACCCACACACACCCACACGCACACACACGCACACACCCACACACCCACCCACACGCACCCACACACACGCACACACCCACTCGCACACATCCACACACCCACACACAACCACACGCACGCACGCACACACCCACACGCACGCACACACCCACACACACCCACACACCCGCACACACCCACACGCACGCACACACCCACACACACCCACACACCCACACACACCCACACATCCACACGGACCCACACACACCCACACACCCACACACCCACACACCCACACACACCCACACACCCGCACACACGCACACACCCACACACACCCACACACACCCACACACACGCACACACACCCACACACACCCACACACACACACACACCCACACACACCCCCACACAC